ATCTCCCAGGATATCTAGTCAGGCTGACCACATTATAAGATTACCCGTTTACATAATCTTTCATTCTCTTTTCCCTCAGTCGGCATCATCAATCCACATACAAACAAGCAAAACGATAATTTATGCCAAACAGACAACATACAGCATCAATATCCCAGTCATTCAATCCATAATCAGTAAAACAGTAAAATATGCACACGAAACTATAAAATGAAAACATCAAACCTCATACTGCATTTAAAACTATAAAACAGGTCAAATGACAGTTAACCGACAAACACACTAGACTCGGGCTCCGTTAGCGACCTTAAGCAATTTCACACATTCGTTGATTCATGAAATACCGTTTTATCATTTATTGAACTTTAATACCGTGATAGGAAATAGGGTGAGGGGTCCTTACTCGTTTCGGGGTCCGAACACGGCTTCACGGTGCGCCTATAGGCTGCCCCTAATTTTTCCTGAATTTTTTCCGGGAAACTGAAACGCACTACTGGTACCTGCACGTGTTCCAAAAAATCCCAAATTAGGCCCATGGCCCCTTTTTGGCCAATATCGCAATTTCGGCACGGCAGCTCCGCCGTGCTCCGGCGACGGCGCCGCCGCTTGCGGCGGCGATTCGCCTCGGTTTGGCTATTTTCGGCCGAATTCGGCCACACTTACATCGATCCTTGCGATAAAACAACTCTAGGGCCCTCGGGGGGCCAAAAAATTACGAAAAACTGAAGCTTACCGGCGGTGGTGCTCTCAGGTGCGGCGGCTCTCCGGTGAAGTTCGTGTTTTGGTGATTCGGCTCCGATCAACCTGTAGAGAAAAGAATGGTGACAACGGTGATATAAAAATTGCATCAAACGGAGGCCGGGAAAGGCCTCATCGAAGGCAAAAACCGAGAAGGGGCACGGCGGCGCCGCTAGGTTTCGGCCCTGTTTTCCGGCCGTTTGGCCGGGATTTTGGCTCCGATTTGGCCACAGGGGAAATCAGCGTGTAAAAACAAGTCGGGGGTATAAATTTACCTCGATCGGCGGTCGGAAATCTCCCCGGTGCGGCGGCGGGTGGCGGCAGCCGGCGTCTCCGGCGTCTGGTTCGTCTTCTCCGGCGAGGGCAGGCGGCTAGGGTTTTTGTGGTCTGGTGTGGGGGTTCTATTTATACCATTTTGCCTTTTGATCTCAGTCGTCCATTTTGTTTTAATCTGGGCCGTCCGTTTTTTGATTAAATCTGGGCCGCCCGTGCGATTTCATCTGGGCCGTCCGTACGCACGCTTGATCTGGGCCGTCCGATCACGCGTACGCGGATCGCCAACGTGACCCGTCCCCGGTCGACGTGGTTTTGCCACGTGGCAGGTCCTGGTTGGCCGGGACTGCTGACTGGATCTGCTGACGTGGCTGCTGACGTGGCCTTTTTTTTTTTTTCCTTCTTCAATTTCCCGGGCGCTACAGTATGAGCCGAAAGTTATTTTTTAAAAATAAAACGTTAGGAGCTGTTAAAAAAAAAAAAAATTACGTCCAGGGCTAAATCAGTAATTACGTATCATTTAATACTTAAAAACCCTAATGTCTTTAGAAGCTACTCTTCTCCGTCACTCGTTAGAGCTGCCGCCGCAGAAGCAGAAGCACGAGTAGAGGCAGAGCGCCTTGAAAATCAGAAGAGTATGGAGACTGCGAGAACAGTGAAGGACGTGTCCCCCCACGAGTTCGTCAAGGCATACGCCGCCCACCTCAAACGGTCCGGCAAGGTAACATAATATTACAGACAACGCTCCTGTCTATACCCGAATGAATCGTTTTCTTATATCTATGGATTTCTACCTCTGTTTCTGGGTTTTCAGTTGATCGATTCAGTGATTGATTTCGTTGAATATTTGTTGCTTAGATTGCCTCTTTGTCTAGATTTTCTGGTATATATATATATATATACAGTCCGGTTTAATATCTTTTTGGGTACTTTTCTTGTCTGGTGGATGGTTCTACAGGTAACTGGTTGTTTTTGTCATGAAATCTTTAATGCCTTTGAATTAGCAGGGAGAATAAATGGATCAAGAAGAAGCTAATATTTTTCTTGGTTAGTTATTGGAAGCGGTGGAAAATCGTTGTTTTCGTTTCAGGAGTCTGTTCAACGAAGTACTTTGTATGATGGTCTCTCAAGAACACCCTGTTAACTGATTATTTTGCTTCTACTTGTTCTGATTATTTTGCTTCTACTTGTTCTGATTATGAGAAGCAGACGGTTAAGAATTAAGCAATATTAAGCTTGGTTTAAATCAGATTTGTTCTGTTAGTGACATTAGGTTTTTTTTTCTTTCACGTAATTTAAGATTAGTGCTGTTAAGCATTCAATTGAGATGATAAGAAGGGATTTAGTAGTTTTTCTTTTTTGTTTTTTATTGTGAATAGTTTGTTTGGTCTACTTTCTTTCCCCTCATTACCCTGATTCACTCTCATTATATGTTGGGAATTTATAATTTTTAGCAGATAGTTCTGGATATTATGGAAACTCATGCAAATATGTGTTTCTTTAGCTCTATATGTCTGAATTGGCTGTTTGTAAAATATAAACTTCTTTTAAAGTTGTACAATTGGAAAAACCATTTGTGCCAGGTAGATAATGTTTATAACCTCAAGGGAGTGATGTTGGTAACTTCGATAAATATTCTCCTGGTTACCCTTCTTGCTGCAATCTCAAAAATCATTCTTTAATATTTTATTGTTATGCCCATCAGTTAATTTACATGGTGTAATTCTTATGTTTTGTTGTCAAATCTTTTTATTCTGTCACTAGATCGAACTTCCTCCATGGACTGATATTGTCAAGACCGGGAAATTCAAGGAGCTTGCTCCTTACGATCCCGACTGGTACTTTGTAAGAGCTGGTATGAACTTATCTCTCTCTGATCCTCTTACTCATTGGATTCTCTCTGTTGCTTTACACCTTCTCACAAGGATATACAGTCACATTTATGCACAAGCTGTCAATTATATTAATTTCAGTTTCTTTCCAGCTTCCGTGGCAAGGAAAATATACTTGAGGGGGGGCCTTGGTGTTGGTGCCTTCCAGAGAATCTATGGAGGAAGCCAGAGGAATGGCAGTAGACCTCCTCATTTCTGTAAGAGCAGCGGTGCTATTGCTCGTCACATACTTCAACAATTGCAAAATATGAACATCATCGATGTTGATCCCAAGGGGTGAGCTCTTGCATTATTGTTTTCATATCTCTACACAGATATTTCTTGGGGGTTGCATACAATAAATTAGTTCGTAGAAAATGGAGATTTCACATGATACTCTCCTTGAAGATAAGAAGTTGAAATACCTGCAAGAAACTGATTTGCCTGATATTATAATTATTAGATTGAAGTAGAGCAGGCTTCACTAATATCTAGATTCTAGGATCAATCCATTCTCAAATTATAATCTTTCCCGGGTTATGCTAATACTTTGATAGACTCATGTTATAAGTGTGTTAGTGGTTATTCTACGGTGTATGGCGCTCATCGAAGTTCTGTCTTTTAACTATGCTGTATTTATTCTACAATACTAGTGGGAGGAGAATTACGTCCAGTGGCCAGCGAGACCTTGACCAAGTTGCTGGGAGGATTGCAGTTGCCCGTTGAGAGATTTGGCTTCACCATCAATTGAAAGATTTTAGAAATTTTGAATCAATCATGAGTCAAGAGTAGATAGAATAGGCATTGTGTCAGTTCATATTCAGGTTGTTACGTTCGATACTTAACGAACATGATTTTATTTCTTAAAGCAGTTGTTGTCTCCTTGGGTTTCTTTGATCTTGGATTTAGTTTTAGTTGGTGAAAATCCATTTCAATTATATTATTGTCTGTTTTGTCTTCTTCATATATATATATATACATATTGCCTTTTTGTCTTATTTACTTTTATAATGCCATGAATGAAACATTTTCAGATCAGGCAGAGAAAGAGTATCTGTTCAAACCCAATATTCAGATATATAACGGGGAATGCCAAAATGATGTGAAATGTTGAGTAGGGTTTGTATAGTTTTCTTGGAGAGATCTGAAATATATCAATTGATCTGAAAATTACAATATAAACGTACAATATAAATTATAGTTATTTATCTTTTTATATTATATATTTCAGACATATTATAAGTCAAATACAATTCAAGATTATTGATATTAAATAGGACGGTACTATATTTTTTAAAAAAATTAAAACCAAAAATTGAATATAAATTATTATAAAAATAATTAATCTATCACATGTTATCCATTATATATCTTTTTCTTTATTTATATATTTTCAAAATATTTTAAAACAAATAATGTTTGGCAATATGAATTAATTTTAAAAATTGAAAATTAATATATAAAATATAATTTTTAAATTTATGAATTTTTATTTAATATAAAAATTAAAAAAAAATAGGTGGAGTATGAAATTGAAAATAATTTTGAAAAAAATAAGTAAAAATTTAGATTTGAATGGCATTTTTGAAAGAAAAATCGAAAACTGATAGTGAAAACGTAATTTAAGAAAAATGTAATACGTATGACCGCCCAGTCAGCAGCTCTGACGAACCGGAGCGTGCTGCGTGGCAAGGCACGCTGATTTGATGCAACGCGGGAGGCCACACTAACAATCCGCATACCCGCGATTGGACGGTCCAGATTTATTCCCGCGCGCATGGATAGTCCGGATCCGTTCTCTCTTTAAATGCGATCGTATGGTTCATATCAAATCGCGATGAACGGTTCAACTTCTTTTTTTTTTAAACGCGATTAGACGGTCGAGATCAAAGGCGATGAATGATCCAGATTAAAGGGAGAATGGTATAAATATCTCACTTCACATCGAACCTTAACCCTAATCTCATACCGAATGGGGTATCAAGAATTGGTATTTTGGTGTCATACCGGACGAGTTATGGAGATGATGTAACGCCCAATAATTTCTTGATTTTATTATTATTATTATTATTATTAATTTTATTTAGTTTATTTTATAATTTTATAATTTTAATTGATTTATTTATTTTATTTAGTTTAATTTAATTTAATTTAATAAAAATAAAAATAACAATAATTATAAAATTGGGTAAAAATATTATTTGGATTTAATTGAAATTGATTTTGAAAAAAAAGGGTGAAAATTAAGATTCTGGAGGTATTTTTGAAAAGAAAATCGAAAACCGGGGGTCAAAACACAATTTAGAAAAATTGCGCCACGTCAGCGGCCCAGTCAGCAGCCCTAGCCAACCAGGACCTACCGCGTGGCAAGACCACGTCGACCCAGGAACGGGCCACGTGGGCGATCTGCGTGCGCGCGATCGGACGGCCCAGATGCGTCCCCGCGCGCACGGACGACCCAGATTAAACGTGCGCACGGACGGCCCAGATTTAATCAAAATGGACAGCTGTGATCAAAAGGCAAAAGGGTATAAATAGAACCCCCACACTGACCACAAAAACCCTAGCCGCCTACCCTCGCTGGAGAAGACGAACCAGACGCCGGAGGAGCCGGCCGCCGCCACCCGCCGCCACACCGGGGAGTTTTTCGACCGCCGATCGAGGTAAATTTCATACCCCCGACTCGTTTTTCAACGCTGAGTTCCCCTGTAGCCAAATCGGAGCCAAAATCCCGGCCAAACGGCCGAAAAATACGGCCGAAACCCAGCGGCGCCGCCGCGCACCTCCTCGATTTTTGCCTCCGATGAGGTCCTTCCCGGCCTCCGTTTGATACAATTTTTATATCACCGTGATCACCATTCTTTTCTCTACAGGTTGATCGGAGCCAAATAACCAAAACCCGAACCTCGCCGGAGAGCCGCCGCACCCGAGAGCATCGCCGACGGTAAGCTTCGGTTTTTTGTAATTTTTTGGCCCCCCGAGGGCCCTAGGGTTGTTTTATCGCAGGGACCGATGCAAGTGTGGCCGAATTCGATTGGAAACGGCCAAAAACGGCCAACCTGAGACGAATCGCCGCCGCCGGAGCACGACGGAGCCGCTGTGCCGAAATTGCGATACTGGCCGAAAGGGACCCTGGGTCCAATTTTGGATTTTTGGGACACGTGCAGGTACCAGTAGTGCGTTTCAGTTCCTCAGGAAAAATTAAAGGAAAATTTGGGACAGCCTGTAAGCGCACTTTAGAGCCGTATTCGGACCCCGAAACAGGTAAGGATTCCTCACCATATTTCCTATCATGGTATTAAAGTGCAATAAATGATAAAATGGTATTTCATGAATCAATAGCTGTGTGAAATTGTTTAAGGTTGCTAATGGAGCCCGATCTAGTGTATTTGTCGGTCAGTTGCTGTTTGGCCTATTTTACAGTTTTTAAATACAGTATGAGGTTTGATATTTTCATTTCATAGTTTCGTATGCATATATCACTGTTTTATTGATTATGGTTTGAATGACTGAGAACCCGATGTTGTATGTTGTCTTGTTGGCATAAATTACTGGTTTGCTTGTTGTGTGTGATTGATGATGTTGACTGAGAAAAGGAAATGAAAGGTATGTAATTGATAATTGATATGTGGTCAGCCTGACTAGATATCTGGGAGATGTGGACGGACGGGTCTGAGGAACCTACCGGGATGATCTCTCATACGGACGGGTTGGAGACTTTTGTGTTTGCGCCTTACGGAGGGTTGGGACGGCCGTTCACCTCTAC